ATCACTGGAAAATGCATCCCAGTATCCAACATATAGAAGTGGACTCAGGCAACCTTTTTCTGCTGGGAAGAATTCCTTGTTTCAGGCAAATAAACTCACATACATGGAATGGAGACCTTCTTGGCAAGCTAACAGTCGTTCAGTTAGGCAAGAGACTTCCCGTCTTTAATGGAATTCGAAGGTTCAGCATAATTTTAACAAGAGCTCGCTTCTGGTCTCTGTCCTGAGCCACATTAGACTAATTAATATCTCCACGTCAAACTTATATAAGATGTAATTCAATATTGTTACCCATCTATCCCAAGGTCCCTCAAATTATTTCTAACGTTCATGTTTTCCTACCCAGATTGTGAATGCATCTCTCATCCATCCCCACACATAAATTGCTACGTAGAAAGTGGTCTCATGTCATCAGTCCGCCATTCATTCAACACGACTTCTGAGCCAGCGAGAATAGGAGTTCCAAGAAACATTACATTTGTAAGATTAAAGTTTTTGCTAGGAATAAATGCACTAAAATCTTCTTGGGTTCTCTCAACGTAGAGTTACAAGCCAGTGTCATCGACCCTGAAATTACCTCCGATTCCATTGTCACCGACCCTGATGAAGGAGGAGATCTCTGAAACATTGGTTTTTGACTCTTCATTGACACGATTGATCTCGCGAGAAGAATTCGCTGCAAACATTTCACATTACATTTGTTTACAGGCAGCCATATTATACAAAATTTCTCCACTATAACTGAAATTCTTGTGGCCATAAATGAGATTTTGCATGCCAGTAGAAAATCATACATCGTACAAGGACATATTGTCAAAAAAAAAAGAATAAAATATATTTTTTATTTCTAAATGAGAGCAAGCTAGAAGTGAAAATTATATAAAAATTTTATTTTAATTCTGTATTGCTGTTTTGTTATTGTTTTTGAGAATAATTTGAAACAGTTTGCTATTTGCTTGGATGTAGACCGCATTTATATGTCTATGAAAAAGCAGTTCACCAACCACGTAAGCAGAAAAAAAAGTAAAAATTTAAGTCATTATAGATGTAATGCTGTGCAAGTAAAAATATCATCATCATCATCATCATCATCATCATCATCATCAGTAATCTGTCAAGACGACAGGTCCACAGTCTCTTGTCTCTTCCAAAACAGTTCCTCCATTTAATGCGATCTAGAGCTTTCTCCTTCAAATGACAGTATCCTCTTCTGTCCCCAAGGTCATCCAGCATCTTCTTACGTCTTCTTCCTCGTCTTCTTGTCACTTCTATCCGCCCCTCTATCTTTCCTTCGATAACTTCTTTTAGAAGGCAGTTTCTGCGTAAAACATGACCAATCCAATTAGCCTTCCGTTTTCTTATTTCGTGTAGGCTATTCCTCTGCTCACTGACTCTAATTAACACTTCTTCATTTCTCACATAATCAGTCCAACTGATCTTCTCCATCCTTCTCCAACACCACATTTCGAAACTTTCCAGATGTTTCTGATCTACTGCCCTAAGTGTCCATGTTTCAGCCCCATACAGCCCCATATACTAAAATGTATTATTATCGTTAGGGGAAAACAAGTATGTTAAATAAATAAAACATTTATGAAATGGATGAGGGTCCATTACGAAAATATTGCTTGTTTTCATGAGTATTTCACTTCTTTTTTATTGCTAGTGGGGTGGGACTAAGTCCCTTGTACTGCGGCCATATCTGGCCTATTGTACCAGCCCCAGATGATAGGTTAGAGTGATTGTGGAGCAATTGGTGGAACGAAGATTAATAGGGGAAACCGAAGTACTCGGAGAAAACCTGCCCCAGCGCCACTTTGTCCACCACAAATCCCACTTGACAAGACCCCGAGATCAAACCCGGGCCGCCGCGGTGGGAAGCCAGCGACTAACCGCTTGAGCTATGGCGCGGCCTTAGTATTTCACTTAGTTCATTCAAACAGTACCTCCAGCTACTGAATGAGGATGTACGTAATTGCTATTTGTTGTTAATTTCACTCAAAGGAAACACGCACTGGATATGTAGACCAAGGTAGAAGTACAAGCTTTGCAGTATTTTACAAGTGCCAGCAACACGATTCCGAACACAGCAACAAAGCTACATCTTTATAATTCGTTTCTAATGGAACACTTGTTATGTTTTGAAACTGGAACAGGTTTCATGGTATGGCTTCTCTACATGTGAGTATGAACTTTGTATTATGCGATATTGTTTTATTAAAGAGGAGGGTTTGGGGGAGGTGCTGAAGTGGAACAGGTAGTACTTGAGATCAACAGCTGAATACACAAGTGCTTGAATAACAAAGAGCAAGCAGGAGTGGCAATGCAGGGCTTATAGATTTTTTTTGTTGCTGCTGCTGTTCGTGTTTAAACACATAGAGAATGAATGATGACGCTACGTTCATACCGAATGTTCTCAATAGTTACTCTCACTATTGCTTCCTGGTCACACAGACGTACGTGTATTTTCGTACTGAACAAATAAACACACATAAAATAGGAAAATCTATAGAAGGAAAACTGAATACAAACGCGTTTTTGTTCCCTGTATCTCGTTTGAATATTAAGTATAGAACATGCGTACGTCAGTAACAGTTTCTAAACATTGCACTGTTTAATATTTCAATTAAATTATACACAACCATTGTGAAAACTGAGTAGGCATCTGCTGTTTTATATCAATATACAAGGGATCGACTTTAAACAAAAACGTATGGTAACTCTCAAAACAATGCTGACATCAATATTGAATTATACTGCCAGTTTGTGAACAGATCATTGGTGATACAAAAATCATCACTATTTTATTACTTTTTAACACACCTATCATGACACCCACTCTATTCCATAGATTCAACTCTGAATACATCTCTGATTTTCATATTTCTGTCGTGAAATTAATTATTAAGTTTATAAATTTATAGATCTGAGACCAATACATCAAAATGATGATGGTAATAATTCATAATAATAATAATAATAATTTGCTGGATTAATAATACGTAAAACTTAGATATATATATGTAATCATACAACTGTCAACACAAAAAATAATAATAATTAATATTACTGCATTAGCATTCGTTTATTATGTATATGTTAATGCAGTAATATTGATTTATTTATTGAGAATTTGTTGTGTTGACGATGGTATAATATATACAACATGATGCAAATAATAAAGATAATTACAGAGATATCTGATTAGCGCACAACTGGTAGTAAAGAGAGAAGAATTTTTGAAGCTGATATATACGTATATAGGCATACGCAAAATATTAATAGCGAACGATGAACCTGACCCCTTGAGACTGCTAGCGCACTAACCGAACAGTGTCCAATCGGGTCTAATTAAGTCTGACTTACTGAGATGCTCTATAGATATCCTCTATACCATCCCGTGCATCGCATGATTCGATCCAAGTTGAGGTCATGATCTACTCGTACATTTGCAGAATCTCAGTGAGTCAGGTTCAATTCCGATGGCCTCTCATTTGTCTTAGCAAGTATTCTGGCTGGACACGAAAAATAAAGACTGGTCATTTTAAAACAGGGCATGTACTGTCTTCATTCGCTTGGAAACCGGGATCGTTGGTTCGAATCCCACTCAGGGCATGGATGTTTAGTTTATGTGTGCGTTTTTCTGTGTTTGTGTACAGGTAGAGAGGCCTTACCGTCGTAAGGCTGATCACCCACCCAAGGAGTCCTACCGAATGTGTAAAATCTAGAAAAACCAAAGTGAACGCAGAAGCTCAAGGAGGTAGGCCTAGGCCCACTGGGCTGTAGTGCCAAGGAAAAAAAATACTAGTTCATTTGATATTTAGGACAGGGTGTTCACTAACTTGGGTCCACGTCACATTTTGCGTCATAATTGGCTCTTAAAATGCTTAATGATTTGTTTTTAAATACGTTTTAAGTATCTTGTATTCAAGTCTGTAGTGTCTGTAGTGTCAAGGGAAAAAAAAATTAAAACAGAGGTAAACAATGTGACACTCATTCGGGAGGTATCAGGTTCGAATCACGTCCGACGATCCCCTAACATGATAGTTCTCCTGGCTCTCATTTACTACAGGCGAATATTAGCCCTAGGCACATACCCATTAAGTAGCGTTCATAGATATTCTAGCATGTCTTGTGGACGATATGTGACGTTATGAGTTAATGACATTTTCATAAAGTGACAAAATACAAAAAATAATAAAATAAAGTGACACGTAAGTAGACAAAATAAAGTAAGACGATAATAAAACAGAATCTACACTAAACAGAAAGTTGTTTTCAGTAATATTGCAGCACCCGTGGAAGGAATATTAACTTTAATGTAGGTCTAGGGAAGCCTTTGATGCGGAAACGGAAATTAAAAACTTATATTTAACGGTAGCTAGCAAGGAATGAAAAAAAAATCATCAATACAGTTTAGATTTATACTCGGGGGAGACCTCGAATTAATAATAATAATAACAATAACAATAATAATAATAATAATAATAATAATAAATCATGCAAAAATTTTCAATTGAAACGAAAATTTTCCAGAACATGCTTTGATAGATATGATAATCAGGCAGAATAAGATGTTGAAATTCGTTTTTGTTCGCCTGGACAAATAGGCCTGTACAATATTGCAGTCAATAATGTGGGGGACGGATTTAAGAAATTTAGTTGTCATTGCAAATGGCGCGATCCGGGCAGGCAGGCAGGCATTGGGTCGGTGATGCAAAGGACACAGTGTTGCGAAGTTACGTTTTCGCAGGTAAATAACTGAGTGATTTACAGTTATTTCTTCTGGGTTTCATCCGAATTAATCACTATGAATATGCACATAAAACTGTAAGTTGCAACACTATAATTACTATGCTAAATTGGTTATGTACTATGCAATAAATCTCTCTGGCCGACATGTCTTAGGATTCTGATTAAGCATGTTTTAATGTTAATGTTTTAATGCTTGGCATGCGGCCCACAGATGCAGTGACAACAGCTGTCGCTCTCTGTTCCAGTGCACTATCAGCATGCCCCAGCAGCTCGTAAGAATGTTCCGGCCGCCGGAAAACTGTGACATGTGCCGCGGTTTGCGACAGGTCGACAGGATTGCCAACATCTCCCCAGCAAACTTCAAGAAACGGTAAAGGTGCTCAAACAATTAACACGCTTACTGGATTCAGGGTTTTCTCATGTTGGATAATAGGTTGTCACGACTGTCGTTTTGAAAGGTACTATTTTCTGGGATATAACGCCGTGTAGTCGGGTAGAATTATACCCACGTTTCGAAGGATTTCCGCCTTATTCATTCCATTTTCTTACGTGGCTTAACCTTATACCCTGCAGATGGAGGCAGTATGCCTCTCCGAAACCTCAGTGTACTGGGCTGCATAGTGTTACATCCCAGAACACAATTCTCTTCTTTTTCGAATTTCTTAGAGCCATACGAGTATATATGTATTTAATTATTTTATTGTTTATTTAGAGACACTGTGAGGTGCTCAGCTATTCAGCGTCGAATGTTAAGATGATTAGTGAATATGAGTTATGCAGGATGTGAAAGGAAGCTATCATGGCGAAAATTACAATGTCATCCCGGTACTTGCCTGAAGGGACTAAAGAAAATCACGAACAAATTGAATCAGGATAGGCTGCGCCTCGCCCGATATTCGAAGAGAGTCCCTCCATGAGATGCTATCCTGCTTGAGAAGGCTGGTTCGGAGTTCTGATGGAGGGATGTAATTTTGAGGTAAACCGAAATTACTTTTTTTTTTTTAATTTCCCTCTCAGGAAATGCCAGATGAAATGTCACATCCCTAGCTTCACGAGTTACTCCCATTAAGTGAAAACTAGATTAACATTTTTCAGAGTTACCGTATCGTTCACCCTTTCTTCCCAAGCTGTCAACTAAGGTACAGGCCCATGGGACAATATTTTGCCTGCTCTAGGACCTAATTCTTTCCATTTATCACCGAGAAAGAAAAGGAACAACAAATGACCTACTCCCTGACAGACAGATGACGACGGTGAAGCAGTCATAATGCTAAGCACATATACATCTATAACCTCAAGGCAGTGCTGCTCGACTAGTGGCCCACGAAACTGTCCATCTATTTCTCAGAGTATGCAATTATGACTGTCTCGTCTCCAAATATTCTATCGAAAAAATAGAAGAAGAAAATTGCCTAGCAAACATAGCGTTGTAAATTTCTAAATTAATTCCACACAGAACCTAATAAATCACTTATCTCTCATTCATGGAGCTGAGCCCTTCTTGAGAACCCGCCAATTGTGCAGCTACTCAAGAACTTCCCAGGATTTTATGGAACCCGAAGATTCATTACCGTGTTTACAAGAGCCCTCCACTGGTTCCTATCCTGAGCCAGAGCAATCCAATCCATATCCCATTCTATATCTTTAAGATCAATTTTAATATTGTACCCCCGATGTAATATGTAATCCCGATGATGTCACTGAATTTTTTCAGTTGACCTAATCCTTCTAGCCGCACTAGGCCCTGGGGTTTACTCAGCCTCTAACAGAAATGAGTACCAGGAATTAATTAAATAATTTTCCTGGGGAGTAAAGCGCGGCCGGCGCGTAAGGCTGACAACCTTACCGCCATCTTTGAGCCGATTGTCTAGATAATGTGGGAGCCTCAACGTCTCACAACCCTATGGACCTTCATGGCCTGGTACAGGGATAGCTTTACTTCCTTACGTACACCCACCTACGCCTTGGTCTTCCCAGTGGTCTCTTTCCTTCTGTCTTTTCCACCAATATCCTGTATGCATTCCTCTTCTCCCTATTCCTGCTACATGCCCTGCCCATATCATCCTTCTTGACTTGATCATTCTAATTATACTTGGAGAAGAGTACAAGTCATGAAGCTCCTCATTATGCAGTTCACTCCAGCTTCCCGTTGTTTCATCCAGAACCTGGTAAATACCTTTGAAAAATAAAGAGTTGTTAAGATTGCATGAGTTTACGTGAGCAGCATCGAGACAGATATAGACATGTCTAGTCTTCAATGGTTAATATCCGCACAAAACGATGACTTTGGGAAAATACAGAGTAGGTGTTTCCTCTGTTTTCTTCTTCTTCTTTACTGGCGCTACAATCCTGTGTGGCTCTTGCCATCCTCCATGTATTAGTAGCAGTACATTTTTTCTGCGTGAGGTCGTAGCCAAACGCCCAACTCCAAACCTGGGGGATCAGAGCTTATACTTTGCCTGGCCTCTAACGTTTGACCTATCTGCCATGGGTGACTACCAGGAAATCACGATCCAGTCAGCATAGCTCTCCAAGTCATTGGGCCGCGCAAAGTCCGTCTCCGTGATAAGGTGTTAGGCCTCGAGGAAATTTCTGTGTTTTATCAGAAGTCAATTTGCTATTTAAGTTTTGTTGTTTTTGTTTTTCTTCTTCTATTCCTGCTATTCCCACTTGGAGTAAAGGGCATCAGCGAAACGCTCGTTTCACTTCAGATCCTTAATATTAGAAAGCCGATAGGATCCCCTGGACCCGGGATCAGCACATCGCAGGGCGGCTACCTACATATAGAACAACATAAACACAGAATAAACCAACACAATCAGACATCCATGCATTGAGTGGGATTTGAATCCACGGTCCCAGTATTCGAGTGAACGAAGACATTTCATGGCATGGAGCACGCGGCCACTGTCATCGGCTAAGTAAGGCTACATTATATTAAATATAAATTTAATTCCTGTGCCTGTGTTATAACTCTGTTCATTGCAGGCGGGTACCCATATCGTTTTACTGTAAAAATGGATGAGTACTTGAGTTATAACATGACGGCTCGGTGGTTTGTTGCTGGACATCCCTGTCATGTGGGAATTACGTATTTGTTTTAATTCCGTTTATGTTGCTAAGTAAAATCTCTGTGTCTTTTTTCCAATTAAATAGCGTGACAAACTGATTCAGATTGCACTAAATTAGGCACTAAGTACTGCGCCACTCTAACAAAAAATGAATGGATGGGGGATGAAAGAAAATTGAGCTCTAATTAAATTAGTATGTTCCAGACATGGATCTGTTATTTGAGAGAGCTACTGTGAGGCAGAGGGAGACGGTCGTCGTGAGAATTAGTCTGGGAGATGTATGGCTCCGGGCCAGATTGCGCTGTTCTTCGCAATGGACCAGAGATAGGAGAAGGCAGAGAAGGCAATAGCAGAAATGAATAGCTGGAAGAGAACAAAGGAGAAGCCCGAACCAACGTCATCGTCATATCTTCTAGCACTTCCCTTCCTCACACGCAAGCACACACACATATGCACATAAGACGAAATTTATTAAGACGCGAAATTGGCTTCTGCGTCTGTCTGGAAAAAATATATAACAGTAGGAGGAAGCTCTGTAACGCTCGAATGGGAAATTACGTTTCTTCTAGTAAAATTGCGCTGATAATGTTCAGTATCTAAATCTCCTTACAACAAGAACACTTACGGCTTTTAAAGGTTCTCCTCAATCCGTTCCCTTCTCCTTAGATTTTCGTTACTCTGTCCATTTTCTTACATCCCTCTTTCTTCTGTATATCTCACAATCTCATTCGTACAGAGTACAGTTTCTAGAGTTTTATCTGGGAGGTTTTCGGTTCGAATCCCGGTCGGGGCATGGTCATTCCTGACTCAGATTTCTCACAATTTTCTATAGTCCTTTCAGACAAATTCTGGAAGATTATGTCGATTGGGCCACGATCGCTTCCTACAAAATCCCTTCCAATTCACTTATTCACCACTCATCATACTATTTGACGCTACGTGATCTGAGATGCTGACAGCGCATAATATGAACTACAAAGAAAATTCTTTCGAGAAAACTGAGGCCTAAGGGTGAGGGAATACCAAGGAAACTGGCAACTGCAACGCAACTGCAACACAACCGCAATTTCCTAGGATTGTTATCAGCCTGAGTTGAACACATGTTACTGAATGGAGCAGCGTAAATTGAGTAAACTGTGAACCGCAACGCAACCGCAATTTCCGAGGATTGTTATGAGCCTGAGTTGAACACATGTTACTGAATGGAGCAGCCCAAATTAAGGAAACAGCAAAATAACAATTCTCGGAAATTGCGGTTGCGTTGCGGTTGCTAGTTTCTTTGGTGTGCCTTCGCCCTAAGAGCCGTAAAATGAGATTCATACAATGGGCTTAGGAATAAAATTTCTAGCATCTAGACGTGTGTTTATAACGTAATTTAGATTAATTTAAATAAATTAGTATTTAACTGTTGAAATGATAAGTACTTATGCAATTTTTGTTAAGGCTAGCAATTTAAAAATTCCTCTTTGAAGATGGTAAATACTACTAGGATGGTTAAATCTGATAGTCTCTCTAGCTAGCTAGGCAACTAATTAACTAACTTACTCGCTAACTAATTAGTTACTAGGAATTGCTGGGTGTTTGTACTTTGTCCATCGTCAAGTATTCTAATAAACACAATGTTCTGGACACTAGATCTCTTTCCGTCCTAAGGTGAGGGGGTGATAACTACTCTGCTGGGTCCATTATAAAGCGCTAACCTCAATCACTGGATTAAGGAAACACATCCAGTTTCTGTAATGTTGCGTTTATTCGAACGCCGGACGATTATGCTATTAGTCCATCAGCAAAGTGTGATAATTCAAATCCTACAAAAATGAATCAACTTTTCCATTTTCAGATACACGTTTTCGGGACACCCGGTTATTGTGACCGATGCGATGCGGAACTGGACGGCCCAACATGTTTTTGACTTCCGATTTCTCAAGACACTTTATCAACAACTTCCTCAAGCTCAACGTTCACAGGGCTGCCAACTTATAGCCACCGACTCTGGTTTTGCCAGTCTTGGAGAAGTATTTAACGGGAGTCATACAAGAACCGCGGAGCCCTGGCACGTCGGATGGTAAGTACTTGAAGACTCAAAAGTGACAATGATATTCTTGAAATCTTTGACCTTGTGCAATATACGGCATATTATTGTACGTAATTATTCATTCTTACATAACTATCAGTAATTTATACCAGTTTTTACGGCGCTATGGAGGCTGGATAAAGCGTGTTTCAAGTAAATCTGTTTCGGCACGTCATACTTGTTCGACAGCTTCTGCCGATGGTCCCGGCCGGCCTGTTCGTTTCGCAGCCGACACGCAAACACTCTGCTGAAATTTCTTGTACCACTCACGAATATTTTTGCCCGTAGGTGGTTCTCTGTGGTACAGGGTCCGAAACCACCGTTACACCGTCACAATTGACTCAGTTTTGGCAAATTTCAAGACACAAAACGCTCTCTTACCCTCCGTCCTCGCCATGTTTCGTCACGACTGTCCCCTAGCGGTGAAACCTGCAACTATGCCATGGCGCTTATTACCCAAACAAACTTGGAGAAATTCTCTTTCTATTCACATGTTCCTTTCTGCTCTCTCTGTCTTGGTTGTTGCGCTGTCGAGTTAGGAATTTCCGGAGGGACTTATGAATTACTCTGCATATTTACATCTAAACTGAAACCAAGAGAGGATAGTCATCTTCGAATAACAGAGTATAACTTCCTAACAGCGAAACACTTTCCATAAATATTGTATATAATATATATATATACTAAAGGCTCCGTCTACTTACAGTGTAAACAAAATATCATATTATACAATACAGAAAAGAAAGAAAAACAAGGATTTAAAAAAGTGATCGTAACTAAACGAAAGCTTACAATAATTTTTTTTAATTGTAGACAAAATATCATAAATACAAAAAGGTCTAGGTAATGCCCATCCGGCCTTCTGTAGCACATTCTAATAAACATCTTATTCTATAATAGAGGTAACCCCGCGATTGTTAATATAGATCTTGACTTAAATCTGTGAGTATACTGTAAATAATCAGTGCAATTAGTTCTTTACAGTATACTAACAGATTTAAGACAACAGAAAGATGATTGTTGACAGACCCACCTAGCGGTAGAATTACTACAACAGATGCGTACAAAGTTCTGTCGATGCAATTCTTTACCATTAATTTCACTCAGGATCATTACAAATTTGTATATATATAATTTAAAAATTCACCTTTCTGATTTGGATTTAAGTGTTGTTTCCTGTTATGTGTCAATGTTTTCACGACCGCCAGTACTCTCTTCTACATGTGTCTATGTTTTCACGACCGCCAGTACTCTCTCTTCTATATGTGTTAATGTTTTCACGACCGCCAGCACTCTCTCTTCTATATGTGTCAATGTTTTCACGACCGCCAGTACTCTCTCTTCTATATGTGTTAATGTTTTCACGACCGCCAGCACTCTCTCTTCTATATGTGTCAATGTTTTCACGATCGCCAGCACTCTCTCTTCTATATGTGTCAATGTTTTCACGACCGCCAGTACTCTCTCTTCTATATGTGTTAATGTTTTCGCGACCGCCAGCACTCTCTCTTCTATATGTGTTAATGTTTTCACAACCGCCAGTACTCTCTCTTCTATTTGTGTCAATGTTTTCACGACCGCCAGTACTCTCTCTTCTATACTGTTCCCTGTTTCGAAACTGGCTACATTTAACATTTGAAAAGCCCATAATTTTCGAGATCTTCCTATGTTTCTTATACCCCAGGGATCATAACGGACTTTCTGTGAGACAGTTACTAGCCATCCCTAAAAGGCGTCCCTTTCACTAGTTTCTGTATTCAACAGCTTGGCCGAACATAAATGTATACTCATGGTTTTGAATGTTGTTCTTTCCTGAGTAGAAAATTTTCAATGCGTACGTAAAGCATTCAATTTGTCATACAGTGATATTTATATCATAATTGATATTGTAAGGTTTAAGGGGTTTGCGCGTGACTTATAGAAGGGTTTTTGGAATGGATGATTGTATTTATTGACACCTTATATATTCACAAATCTTGACTACAAGTAATTTCAGCGCAATAGCTGATCTACACACTTTACAGTTCACCAATACACTCTCACTAGCGTTCTCGGGCTTCACTAGTCGTATCCTGACAACGGATTTCCTAACAGTCTCACTGTCATTTCAAATCACATATGAAATTTTCTTTTCACAGCCTAATTCCTATCTTGCAACTATTCTACAACTGTCAATTCCGAGGACTCATCTCAATTCAATTTCTCTGCTCCCAAGCTCATATCTTGGCAGGCTGGCGTCTCGAAACTCAAATTTTCACTTGGAACTCGACTTTATAAGCACTTTGCACGGACCACGCAGAAAACAGCCTCTATATTGTTGGGAATGCGTGTTTACAGCGCAGTAACGGAAGTTACTTGTTGCTTCCTTATTCGTTTCCGCGGAAATGTGTTCACCGAGTCCTTGCCTAGCAATGAACCTTTATACTGACTTCACTATTCCGGCTTTCGGGCGTCATGTCACAATACTGAATTGGATCAGGCTAGGAGGCCTAGGATCACTAACATTTGAAGAAGTTCTATGCTACGTTGATCAAATTTACAGATCTCTCGCGCTCAAGCTGTGACTTTTCTAACCCGTCCGTTGTTTGTGTAGTCCAACTGTGCTCAGGCGAAATCAGAAATAGTAGGAAACCCATTAAATCGGTCCTCGCAACTATTAGAGGCTCCAGAACAAACTGAATTATTTAGTTTAAGGTCTTTCATTCTGGTCCGTCACACTAACAAATTAACAATCAAGTTCCTTCNACAGACAACACACGTCAACAACATCCCGAAGAAAAAAGACTGGGCCAAGCGGGAAAGAATTCTAGGAATTTTAAGAATTCTTACTTCAAATAACGAAACATAATTTTTACAGAATTAACGACGAATTAAATAAGAAAGCTACCGTGGTGTGTGGAAAACCTTTAGTGAACCGACACTCTCGGCAATTTTAACTATTGTAATTATTTTAATTAACTGGAACGTGGCTATTTTTAACAAAGTGAAGTTTTGTGTGTTGGTGATTTCTTTTTCTACTATAAATGCCTCTGATGATGGCTCCGTGGTGAGCCGAAACATGTAAGGCAGGTGGTGACGAGGTGGAAAACTTATAAAAGTGTCACATTTGACGGAAGGAACTTGATTGTTGAATTATTTAATTATATTTTTGAAGAATTAAACTCGTCTAAATAATATTGTCACGATTTAGGGGTGTGTGACTATAGACGGGGTTTGGATTGGATTTATTGACACCTTATATACACCACTCTGAACTAAAAGGTAATTACAGCATTACGGTTAATATCCACACGTTACAGCTCACTGCTGCAAACACTAATATCCTCAGCCTATTACACTCTCCAATATCCGTTTCCTGGCAACGGATTTTAACGCAGGAAATATAACAGGCTCCCTGAATCACACACTCCAAATATGGCGGTACTATAGCACACATAAGGTCTTCTATTCACAGCCGGACTGTCAAATCTCAACTGAACTCTTATCGACTCCTGCGTTCTTCCAACTCCGACACTTTCAATCCAATTCTCTAATGCAACTGCCAACTATCTCGTTGCAATTTTTCCCCAATCACCTTCGACCTCTGACTCAGTTCTAATTCTATCTCCAGAGAGAGCGAGAGAGAGAGAATTATTTTACTGCTGGCGGTTTACCGTCAATCAGTTCGTCTTGGCGACAAGCCCCTTGAGAATCACGACCAGCATCTCTTTCAACTGAATATTTGCTTTCATTGTCCTCTCTGACGAGAGTTCTCGAATTCTTAGGTCAAAGACAAAAGTATGTTAAGACCCTCAGTCGGCCAGTCTGTCTTGGAGAAAAGCATCCTTGTGGGGCTTACTACCAGATTTTTATTACGGTCAGACACTTACAGGTTTGTTGATGTGAGGCGCTCTGTCTGACGAGAGGGCGGATCTGCCGTTTAACATTTCTGCTTGTTCTCGCCAGCGCAGTCATTATCGGTTCCGAATCCCGCGGGACTCTTGATCATATTTTACTGTCTCAGACTCGAGATTCCCCAAACGTGGAGGGCCAGGTCCCCGTATTTATATCCCACAGGAACAGGGTGGCCCAGTTATAACCCCAGACATTGGGTTTCCTTTTAGTCGCCTCCTACGACTCGCAGGGCTACGGTTCAGGTATTGTTAAGTACAAGATGATATTAACGTTGATTAAGAATTTAATCTTCTGGGTTCGACACCAAGTAGCATCTTAGGTGGATATCAATGTTTTGGGGGAATATTCTGCCTCCATTTTCAGGGTAGAAATCTTCTTCGATCCTGGAGGTGGAGAGACCTCATGTTCCGCCAAAGCACTGGTATCCATCTACTTCATTTTCTGTTGACACAAACCAGAAAACTGGAATTTGAACTCTCAGAGCCGTGAGAGAATTGAAAACACATCAGTAAATGAGTATTCTCCTTTACTACAGGCGCAACTGCGACGAGCGCGCAGCCACCATATTGCGCCAACACTACGGACGTCCCTACTTCCTGCCCCCGAGTTCCAGCGACAGACAGAAGCTTGAGTGGATCTACCTGGGCAGCTCAGGCTATCGAGAAACCATGCACGTGAGTGACTTTAATACCGCACATAACAGAGTAGCAAGCTGGAGCCAGAACGAGCGGTCCTGACGCTCATGTTTCGACGTATGAACACCCCGGACACTAATGTCGTCTCGAATACCGGCTACTATGACTCAGATTGCTGGTGGGTTTCCTCGGTACTTATAGACATTTGGGGGAACGCGATAGCGTAGTTTTTGAGGCAGTACGCTACAAGCCGCAAGGTCACGGCTTCAATTCCCGATGAGGTCATTAAATTTTTTCAAATTCCAGCCGCTCTATGATATTGGGGTCAACTCAGCCTCTAACCGAAATGAATACCAGGAATCTTCCTGTGTGTAAAGAGCGACTGGAGCGTAAGGCTAATAATCTCACGGCCATCTGTGAGGCGATTGTATAGAAAATGTGGGAGCCTCGACGTCTCACAACTCTATGGGCCTCCACGACCTGTGACAGGGATAGCTTTACCTTTTCAGTTTTACTTACAGACATATGATGGTATAATACCTTAAAATAACCCACGATTTATTTTTCGCAGGAACTTTCCAATTCATTATATGGCAAGGAGCTAGAACAATGCCATGAATACAAGAGGTCTATATATTTTTCTCCTCTCAATAAGTATTTCCGTTGACGGCAGGAACGGTCTGCACAAATATCTTTGGAATATTTACAATAAAGATGATTTAGAAGCATAATAACTGAGAGCTTGTTGGCTGTGTTTTTCCAGTTGACGCTCGTAGCCTTGGAAATGAATATTTCTAGCTCATATCACTCAAATGTGAGAATATATCGTATATTTTTCCGTATTTGTAAAATACTGACATCCATATATTCGACATTTGCATTGATTATGACAGTGAAAGGTGTAATCCGCAACGGATTACAAAGCTTACTCACATGAGTTCGCATTCTGAATACTCATAGCCTTTACAAACAGATTCCACGAATATGTTTGCAATATTTAGCAGAACTGTAGCTTTGATGTTGCTTCCTTTGAGATATCTCACGGTGTTTTCATCTTAATATCATTTTTAACATTTCAAATTATTTATTCATCATTTGATGGCATGATCTGTCTTAATATGACTACCATCTCTCTTCACATTGCTAAATCCAGTGTCTCATTGTCTATAGCTATTAAACCGAAAGCTAATTATGTAACAGATTTCTTGCAACAATAGTTTTATTCCTTAATATTTTACAAGAAAAAGAAAGATATTCTAGAAAATATGTATATTCTTAAGTACTATTAAGCAACGGAGTCATGCCGCATAATAAAATACAAATCTCCTCTCCACCATGGCAAGGAAACAAGGTAACCCCAACAGCATGCGGTCTCTCAAATTGTTCATACGCTGTTTTCAAAACCCTTTCTGCTTAGGTCGTTGTTTAAAGTTAAAACATTTTTTGCATTACGAAAATCTACTCTTACTTTATTTTTGTGCCCTGAAGTCCATTGTACATCGCAGAATAATCTGCTTATCCTATCATCTTAGTTTCAGCGGCCTCCGTAGTCTAGGGGTAATGTTCCCATCTCATGACTCAAGGTACTCGGGTTCAAACGCGGCGGAGGTCGTGGAATTTTTAAGGGCGGACAAATTCAGGGAACAAGTCCTCCAGGAGGGACTTTAATTCGTGGGTCCCGTGTCGTAGAGTTACGGCACGTAAAAGAACCTCATGTCTCCAAAGGAGACCACTGAGCTAAATTAAGGACATTTGCCGCTCAACAGTAGTCTCTAACACCTCTGGTAGATGGGGGAAGCATTGAGATATCTCTGAGCCAGTAGAGGCCGACCTCGCTGGCTGAGTAGGGACTGATGGTAAGCGCCAATACCGGTAGGGTATAGAGGCTGGTAGAAGATTATAAGGGGACGCACAATAGATCAAACTGGTCGCGGTGCATGGGGAAACCCACGCCCTCCAATAATAATAATAATAATAATAATAATAATAATAATAAAGGGTTCAATCAGTGTTATGTCTAATTTTTTTTCCTTTGGCACTACAGCCCCATTGGGCCTAGGCCTACCTCCATGAACTCCGTTCAGTTATGTCTAATACAAACAATATTTCTGATGGTGGTCTATTCCACTTTTACGACTATAAATCCTCAAGCCTCCGATATTTCTGGCAACTATACGCAGTTATTCCTTGACACTAAGAACAATCTTCCAAGCATGTAACTTCTAGCGATATGTAAATAAGTTATAAATATGAGCACATAAAAATAGCATGAAAAATGAAGTAGATCGAACTCTATAAGCATTGTGAATGCAGGTATCTGAGGGCTTGGACGTAACAAAAGTTTTCTTAATTATAGAGAGAGAGGATTTGTGTAAGAGTTCTTCTGTCCCAAAAATCCAGGCACGTTGTCGGTCGGGTGTTCATGACCACACATGCCTTGTTATGCCATAACAGACTCGTACTTGTCTGCTGTTAAATATTTAAGGAGGGAGAGATGGTGGAACTGCTTCTGCAACTACGAACTACGAAAGAAGCATCAGAATGTGTAAGAAATTAATGAGTTTCCTCCATTTCCTTTCTTTGTACCTTCGGCATCTACTTGTTACCCTTCAGGGCACTGTCTGATTCATTTCATTCAGTTCCTAGTTACTTCCGTAGAACCTGCATTTCCTTTCGCGATGCTTATCGTACTTGCAGGCGTGTTTCAAGCACACTTGGTTGCTACGTAAATCATTTCTTTAACTTGAAATATCGATTTGTTCTCTTCTATGTTCATTTTAGATCGATATGGTTAATCGGCCATCTTGGCAAGCTCAGCTGAAAGGAAGCAAGCGATGGTTCCTTTTTCCGCCACCGGAGTGTTACTATCAGTGTGAATCGCTTGAAGTCACCGTCGAACCGGGAGAGATTAGTAAGTAGCTCCACTGAGTTACGAGATATGTTATAAGGATCTTCCATCTGTACTGAGACTGGGGAAATGAATTTGGATTTGAAGTAACGGGTGCAGGAAAGCACTTCATCGGAAATGTAGCGAATCAATAGTAGCCTATTAGATTTTAATTACGTTTCGCCAAAATGTACATATTTACATTCATTGATATAGTACTTTTATTTTGCATCTTGTCTGCTGCTTTATTGGTTATAAGTGACATAAATTTATTCGTAAATTTTGGTCCATTGATCGGCAATTTCGAAAATTAAACTGTCATATTTTTATTATAAAGAGGAAAATAACTATATACTGAAAATTTGTTAGTAAAATACTAGCCATGAATAATATTAATGATTGAATTCAATTCTATTTTATTTATCTGAGTGCTAGCTCAACAACCCAAGGCCAATTTCAAAGTGAGCAAGAGTGGAAGGAAGAAACAGACACACAGAAAGTGCAAAACCAGGCAATTTATAGCATTTGCGTAATGATAATACATTAATAATAATAATAACAAGAATCCAAGTTATGATTTATGAGTGGATGATGACGACAATAAACTCAAGTTAGAGTTAGAAGTTATAAAGTAAAATATGTGCATTTACAAAAGATGCAATATACATTACAATGCGTAATGTGAAAGCAATGATAATAATATAATAATAGTAGTGGTAATAATAATAATAATAATAATAAATACCAAGAAAATTATAAATATTATCATAAAATTATCAAACAAGAATCTGCAATTGATAAAAAATAATAAGTATATTTCAGTAGTGAATAATATCTTGCTGGGGAACAAAATACAAGTAAAATAAGAAATTATAGAGTTATAAATTTCTGTTTTCGCAAAAAAATGGAACCTAAATACAGGGAAAGGAGTACACAAATTACAAAGATGTGTAAGTAATATAAATGAAGTATGGATTTGAATGAGGTCTCAGCAACACAATTCTGAGCCACGTAAAGTCACAATAACACAGTTCCCTGAGCTCCATTCTAACCGACACTGAAATCTTATTCAAGTTCTTTGCAATGACCGAATTCAGTGAGGTCTATTTTAAAAAATGTTTCTGCTATGGGATGAAGCACGTCTGATATTCTTCAGGGAATAATCCGAATGTTTTGTGCACTCTGTGTGTCCCAGATTGAGATCCTAACAGAATCTAGCAGCCATGTGATTATACTGAGTTTGACATTTGTGTATATTAAACAGGCTTTATGACCATTCAGAAATGGCCCAGTAATTCCCCGTTCAGTATTCTGTTTGTCGCATTACACAATAATAAAATTTGACGGTGCATCCATTCACCCTTTGTAGCATCCACCCCACGAGCTTTCTGGTAATACTTTTGCATATCACTCGTCATTATCTGGATTTTATTGTCAGATTCTGTGGGACTAGTCATAATATTTAAATCGTTTGGTACATTAGCATTATAAAGCCTCATATAATTGGTGCAGTACTGAAATTGGAAGAAGAATAATTACGCTCAATTTCAATGCTTAATATTGAAACAATATACCAAAAAATAAATTCTATGTTTATGAAAATATACTTTGATGTCACAAAAAGAACGTGTATGTAAAATCCATTGATTTCTGTGTACACCATACATACATATATATTAAAAAATAAAGATTGTTGATCACAATTGTCGCTCTGTTTAAGACGCCTAATAACTTCACACACTGGTATCATAGGTTTGAATCCGACCCGGGATATGGACGTTTGTTCGAGGTATCTTCGTGTTTGTGTATTTCTATATAGTTAGAGGACTTGCGACGAGTAGATCCTCAATCTAAGAACTTCTACCAGGTATTCAGAAGACCCAAGTTTTCAGAAATTGATTTTGAACTGTAATATGTCAAAAGAGAGATATATATATATATGTACGTAATTTAATAAGATGCTGTGTATAAAATATCAGTGCTTCTTTAGCGACTGCCAATTGACTTGACTGCGATTGGACAATAATCAACAAATATTGCCAACTTAAATTTAGAGAATTATCTGTGGATGTTGTAACAGGGTTTCAAAAAAATTCCACAGTTGGTCATACTCCCACAATATCAAATTGACTGCATCCGCTTTTCGCACACACTGTAGATAAAATGACCCAGTTTTGCAATAGTTCATAATTCATTCTGGTGTAGAGGTTTACTGTCAGTTAAGCCATATTGGCTTCCGAGATGTAATATACAATGCTATATAGAGTGAATTACGAGGTTCAATTTCTTTCATATGACATGTATTTTTTTAGCATTCTATGTTATTGCGTAAATTTACGAGTATGTATGAGCCTGTAATTACTGTTCTGTTACATACATATATTTCAGGTTATATTTACTTTTTGAATAAAATATAGTGTGTTATGGACAACGTGAAATTAATATTGTTTCATTTTTATTTTAATTACTCTGATTAGGATCCAGATCATTTTCTGAACACACTGCTTGAAGTGGTAACGTTATTCTGGACCAATGTCTAATAGTGTTCACTTGTTGATACATCGTATATTATTCGTCTCATTTAGCATGTCCCATTTCACGTAGGAAACATTTTAACAAACGGGTAACATACATATGGAATAGCATGTGTTTTCTATCTTACAGTTGTCGTGGATACAGCCAGATGGTACCGGGAGACAGCAATTGTATCTAAAGACCTGAGTATAGCCGTAGGGGCACAATTTGATTTCACCTAGTAAAGTGATCTAATGTGGAAGAAAGTGACTTTACAAAGGTGGATGTAGCTCTGAGCGTTGTGAAAGACAAGAATAAGAAAAAATGAAAGTAAAAGAGCTTTTTTGAATTTATGTGATTGATTCATTCGGAGAACTGTTGTGGTTGTTATATATGGAAATATCTTCAACATGGAGAACTGATTTATGAGAGAAATTCTAATTGTTTCTATGTACAAAACTGTATTTCCTGCAACCCCTTGTACTTTCATCAAATCCCTCTCTACTCCGAGTTATATAATTTATCTTCAGAACTGAGATAAACACCGACCTCACTTCATACCAATCCAAGCTAATCCGTCAGAACAAAGCTAAGCCTCTAACTAGACCAATGTTAACTCCTTCAAATAAATTACCGTCTAATGTGAGGTAATTTCAGTATGAAGCAGAATATCTCCCACAGAATATATATGCTATAGTTGAGTTATAGAGACTTTGTAACATACGTGATGGAATGTCTTCTAATACACATAATTTAAAATATTATTTGTGTTTATTTCGCACCAACACGTCCGCTCAATATATGCTGGACTTTCCTTCCCCCAGAATTTGTATCCATTGTTCCAATAACCACAGAATTTCCCCAAGTTAACTTTTCTATTCTACACAAACATCCCGACTCCTGTAAGATTTGAGGTTTTCACGGCGGTGACTATGAAGAATGCCGTCTTCTGGGATGTGACACCATGTATATATTGTGTAAACAGACGTTTCGGAGGAACGTGTCACCTCCATTTTTAGGGTAGAGAAATCTGCACCACCTGCTGGCGCTGGTTTCTCGCTGGCAGATTTTTCTACCCTGAAGATGGAGGCGATATATTCCTCCGAAACGTCGGTTTATACAAGATCTACACGGCGCCATATCCCAAAAAAGCGGCATTTTTCATCCTGACTCCTGGTCCATTTTCTTCTTATAGAGAACATTTGGTATTATACCTAATTTCAACTTCACAGATTGAGTTCGATCATTTGGAGCAATATTGTAATTTGTGAGATTTGAACTTCTCACGGAGGCCACTACATGTATGTAGCTTATTATGTTCTTAGATATGACGCCATATAGACTGGTAGAAGTTTATTGATATTTCGGAGGAACATACTGCCTCAGTCTTCAGGATTCAACGCTGACGTCACAACCCAGGAGAAAATAATCGTTTTCAATAATAGCATAACTTTCTCCTGAAATATTCTCGTTAAGGTAGCGAATTTTACATGCTGCTACATACGGAAAATGCAAAACAATTAATTTTAGTCGCTTGAACGCGTACCCTGATGATCCACTCCTCTAAAGAGCATCCACACCTCTATAAAAACTCTTACTCTTTTAACAGTTTTCTCTCATACGAAGACCTGCAGTAAGGAAATACATTCACCTCAATTGATTTATTCTTATGTTACTATTACTCTTAATTTTATGTGGTCCAAAATCAAACTGAAAGATGATGAGTAGGTAAGGACTTGGAAATTGATTGTCGTGACCTATTTGAAGGATATATCGCGGCATCCATGTGGGCTGTACGAGACCAATCACTAAAGATTCTATTCTGGATAACTGGTGAAGCAAAAAAATTCGAACCGGGTATCTCCCTTTTTCAAACACATAGCGCTACTGCTACAGAAACCTGTAGAAAATTTCGTATGATACTAGGCAAATCCAAAAAGTTCCTTGAGGACTCTTTCCGTCTGAGTAATCAGTTCTAAAGCAAGCACACTCAGAGTCCTGAAGGAGACGGGAGGGGAAATGGTCTAAGTGAGACACAGATTGGTTTGGACACCTCTAAATAATATTAAAAAATTTAGTTCGTACCTCACAGAAAACATATTACACGTCCGCTACAAATATCAAATTGGTTACTTCTGTTTAAGGTGGTCAAAAATGCAGTAGCTTTGAAATATTTTGACTTAAGATTTAGTGCAGTGAGACGGTTTCGAAAAATGAACAGTTTCCTGAGGATGGCAAATCAAGGTCGAAACATGTAGCAATTAATTATGATTTTAATATTAATTAAAATTAACGGGAGATTGTGAAGAGAGTTGCATTAAATACGGAAGTGATTGTATAGAGTGATACACCAATGCAGCAGGATGCTGAAATACAATCTTTGGAAAAGCAGTAACTAAACCACGCAGACGATGGTCGGAAGGTCATATTAAGATGCAAGGAGTCAGTGAAGATCGGAAACTGATGTAACTGGATTATTATTATGTCTAGTGACATTAAATATTTCAGGTTGTATCCAGAGAGTGTTACAGATTAGTAGTCGGTATATAACGAATTCCTACGGGCGGGACGACCTAGAAAGTCGGAGTTCGAGTCCCGGTAGGGTCAAGAATTTTTCTCTTCTCCACGTCGTCGAGACCGGCTCTGGGGTCAACCCAACCTCCTATTCAGTGTGTACTGGGGTTTCTTTCCTCAGGGGTAAAGCGGCCAGGGCGTGAAGCTGACCACTCACCTCCAGATAGTGCCAGGTCAAGAAAATGTGGATTTATACATCCACTTCCCCATACTCCTGAATGGCATAGTGCTTAATTAGTTAAGCACAAAGACAACTTCACCTTTTACACTCCTATAACTTTAAATATGTATCAGGATGATGCGTTAGCATAAAAACTTTATTTTGATAGTAACTTAGTTACGGAAGAACAGTAAGTTTTGTTTTTCGAGTTTCTTGCAACGTATAAGGAAAAAAATCCTATCGGAAAGGGACCGAGCAAGTTAGTGTAGCGGTTAGTTTCTAAACTTTTTCTCGGAATATGCTCACTTTTAATCTCCGCTGAGAGGGTTTTCGTGGATTTATTCAGTCCGTCCAGGAAGATCCCGGAATAGCGCCTCCACTAAACCACGGCTGCAGCCTTCGTGGGTCATCCTAACATTCTGCGCTGCGTAGCGGCCGTGCCGTGATAGACATCGCGAACCTCGCGTGCTGACGGCCATGTATCCCCGGTCTGCCGTCTACCCGCACTTCCAAGTGCTTACGGAATGACACGCACTCTTAAGTTGTGTTTTCCTTGGTCAGTTGTAGCAAATACGTAGGTTTCTGAAATGAATATTGTGATTTTAATTGGTTATTACTATAGGATTCTGACGATGGTGTATAACACACTGATATATTGGGTTTTTGGACTTTATCCATCGTCCTGGTTTTTAAGATAACTAATGAAACACGACGTTTCGGAAACTGGATCTGTTTCCGTCCTGGAAACTGGATCCTGGATCACTGATCCAGTGATTGAGGCTAGCTCTTTCTAACGGACCCAACAGAATAGGTGTTTCCTTCACCTGAGGACGGAAACAGATCCAGTTTCCGAAACGTCGTGTTTTTATTAGTTATCTTAAAAACCAGGACGATGGATAAAGTCCAAAAACCCAATATATCAGTTAAGTGGTTATGTTTGTTAAATTTGAATTTGTTGATGGGAGTAAACGAAAGTTTTGATGATTAATTTAAGAAGGACATTGGAATTATTACAGGGACCTCTATTGCCCATATTGTTATATAACGTTTTCTTCTGAAAAAGGAACTATAAATCACGCAGGTTCTTCCGCCAGAGCGAATTCATCTTACAAGATGCCAGTTGTAATATTCTGCTTGTTCGTCACTGAACATGCAATACGAGGGCTACACGAATGTCTGCAAGCGGAAGTCGATAGCAGGAACTCGAGTGATGTAGTCTGACAGACCTGCTGGTAGCGCCCTCTCCGTAGAGCTCTAAATTGTTGGCATGACAGCTGTAGACGGGCCAATGAAGAAGCAGAAGAAACATAAAAGCATTCCTTGATTGATGAAACCCCTTGCTCTTCTTAGGCTTATTTATGCAACCATCAAAATGATTAACGTGAACTACTGAAGAGCAGTGAGAACGCCAGATGAAATAAGGTGAAGTTGTCCCTGTGCCTAACTAATTAAGCACTACACCATAAAGGCGCATGGGGGAGTGGATGTATAGATCCACATTTTCTTGATCTCGGCACTAGCTGGAGGTGAGTGGTCAGCTTCACGTCCCTGCCGCTATACTCCCGGGGAAACAGCTGTAGGTACTCATTGGATAGGAAGCTGGGTAGGCCTTAGAGTCGGTCTGGACGACGTGAAGAAGAGAAAATTCTTGACCCCATCGGGATTCGAACTCAAACTCCTCCGTCGTCCAGCCCGTAGTCAGTCGCTATGCCGACTGGGCCGAGTGTTTTTCATTTAATAGAAAATTAGGATTGTGGGCTAAGGTCTTTTCCGTTATTATACGCTCAAGTATAAAAGAACATTTATGTCAGTCACAATAGGCATTACGTCTTACGAGTTTTCGGTAGCTCTGAAGCTGCATTATAGAGTTTAAACGCGAGAGAAAACGTATAATTTCCTGTAGAGATGTTAAGCAGAGACAGCGTTCCCTTTAGCAAGATACATTTTAAAACCCATACCAGTGTCAACAAACTTCATCAAAGCTTTAATGTGAAAACAATTTTTTTTTCTATCAGCAGTCAAAACTCAGATAAAGCAAGATTCTATCGTTTTTGTTCAGTTCTTCGAAGTAACGTGTTTACAAAAACAAATCGAAGTTATCTTCTTCAGAAGTTTAAATTGAACCTCTTTCTTTATTAACATTGAAAACTTTGCGAATATTCGCCACGTTTTTATTCCGTGTTCGAAACCAAAGCTGTAGATCAATATTTGCTTCGTAAACAAACTTCATTTCCTTTTCCTATAACTCAAAACATTTTCCATCATAATAAAACTCTAAGCTTCAAAGCACTGCGTGCCATGCACGAATAAAGCCACGGAAGATTAAACAAGACCTGCAGAATATACGTAGAGTGTACTGTTCTGTGTTGTGCAGAATGGCTATGGCCTAAACGTAAATACAGCTGAGGATGCGACGTGTGGGACGTTTGCGCCATCAGTGCCCTAATCTCTAATTTAACTGGTAGTTAATTGATATAAAAATAATGCCGAAATAAATTATATTTCTTCTTACTAATTATGAAATAATCATCATATTAAATCCTAAAGGGCGATGGTAACTGCATAAAATATACAATAATTAGTTATTACATAGCTAATTATTGCAATTTGTCACTTAATATAAAAATTAAATTACAAATTATATTATTAAATTTATGACTCAACTCTTGTATTAAGCGACAAATTTTCTTTCAGAATTAATCCATCCTTTTCATCAAAATGAAGTGATGAGTTTAAGAAATCTTATTCCACACCATCATTTATTTTTATTTTGTCTGATTTTATATCAAATAACAAGACATTACATCTGCAATTCTTATCTGTTATTTTTTCAATTGTTTCTCAGAACAAACTGCCAATGTTGTCCCTAAATATCCCCTGAAACATCTTTGGTGGTGCATAATTACATTATCATAGAAGGTCATTAGATATTTTCAGCAAACAAAGGGAGAAGATATTGCCACAGCAGATTTCCCGTTAATCACGCAGGATTTTACTTTCTAAGAAACGTTCTCAACAACAGACAGC